TGATTGGGATTTGCAAAGGCTCGTTCCAGCTTCCCCTCAATAACCAGAAGGAGTTAGTGGGAATGGAAACTTAATGTAACTCTTCAAAGATTACTTTCAGCTAGTCAGAGCTATGGCATGTTCCAGCAACTGCTATAAAAGGATGTGTGTTAAATGGAGGAATGTCGCAGAGGGAAGATGGAAAAGGAAGCAGCTTTTATTGAGGGAAAGGAGAAAGGGCAATCAAACCAAGTTCATTATGTGGAGGGTGCTGAGTGCAAATGTTGGGTTTAAACCAGACCTGGTTTGTGCTGTGAGATCAGGAGCCCCATGACTTACTGAGAAACACGAGGCTCCTGAAGCAGCTGTGGGATGAGGCCGTGCCAGTGTCTAATGCTGCTACTATGGCTTTAAACCAGGCAGGGAGTGTCAGTGTTTTGGGAGCTGAGCTGAGAACAGGCTCCCATGTAGCAATAAAGGAATTTCTCTCTGGTATGGTAGCTCCAGCCAGAGAACAGCAGCACGCATAATCCTTTGGCTGCAGCGTTAATAGAGTCCTTTTGCTTTTTATTATTTAACTTTAAAGCTCCTGTTCAAAGTCATCAGGACAATAAAATGATCCTGCAGATTTACTTTGTGTTCTTGCAGACTGCAACACTTATAGAAGGGTTTAATGCAAATACCATTGCATATTGCAGGAGAATTAGTTGTATTCATTTAAATAGTATGCTGGCTTCTGTACTTTCTGTGTCAGACTCGGGGTTTTTATGTTGTTGGGTACTTTTAATTATCCTGGACTTCAAAATGCTGAGAACCTCTGTATTCTGATTTTTAACGTCATTATTTCTTTCAGTCTTTCAATTAAGGAACTTTCATAATCTCATATCCTTTCAAAAAGGAGTTTGCTGCATTTGAAATGAATACAGAGCAAACTTAGCTGCAAGCTTCTGCAGTAAATCACTTCATGTATGCATTGAAAGCTCAAAAGTAATTTATTTAACAGCTTTATGATGATACTTATGAACAAAGCAGAGTCTTTAATTGTTTCCACAGATGTTAATTAAAAATAAACCCATGCTCTGCAGAGCTGGCTCAGCACCTGATTTGTAAAACCAGCTTAAATTGAAAAGCTTGACAGAAAAATGAATGTTGTTTTTCTGCTGGCTGGCATCAAGTCACAGAACAACACAAAGTATGTTCTTTCGTGGTGATTGAATGAACACATTGAGTGCAGAAGACCAATATATAAAGCTTTTCTATATCATGTAATATTAGTAGCTCCTGTAACATTTAAAACCTGGGATCTGTGAGTATATGTTAAATCTGATCATGTTCAGAAGTGGAAGAAGAGTCACGTTCTCCTGTGGCCAATGACAATTGCTTAGGGATAGCTGGGAGATGAACTGTAACTTCTTAAATGTTAGATCCCCGAAAGCACAAAACTGTTTAAACCCAAAAAAGTCAAAACCAACTACCCAGCCACAAAATCCCACCACCACAAGCCCCAACCATCCTATGGAAAATGTCAAAAGTAGTCTTCAAAACAGTGCATATAGCAATCCTGTTTGGTTGTGATCATCCTATGACACCTTGTCAATCTGCCTCTCCCAGTGTGCTTTCATTTGGACATGAAGATTGGGTGTAACAGCTGATAAAAGCACTGGGACATGGGCCCTTCTCTGTGTCTAATATGGAAACATCCTGGTTTTGGTGAGATGAGATGTTCAGGTACAGCAGGCACATGAATGTCTGTATCATGTAGTTGTGAGTTATAGATGTGAATAGTAAAAGTAGAATCCAGCAGCTGTAACCCCTGACTTGGGTTTCCTTGTCTTTGTTGGTGGTATTTGAGCATTGGTAACAATGGGCTATTGGATTTATGGTATGACAGGCTGATGAGTAGTGTTTCTTCCTAACGCCATAACCGAGCCCGTGCTGCTATTGGTTATCATATGGCTCGTGGGATTTGTGGCTCTGGATGCAATCCAAAGGATACTGGTTCTCTGCACAGAAAGGAGCCTCGCTTTAGAGATCTGTGTGCAGGAGGCATCTCTATTATGCTGTGGCTTCAAAAGTGGGATGACTGTAGGTCAGTAGAACAGAGGATTGTAGCCTAAAGGAGCCCTTTGAGTTAAGTGGCTGATGCTGTGAATAAGAGATTAATTAGAAGCAATGTGTGGGTACTAAGAGTGCAGTATGTAAGTACAGTAAATTAATGACTTAATTCCTCGCTGTGCTCCTTTCTGCCATGGAAGATGACAGGCTTTAGAAGAAGGAGACAAAACATGCAGCTCTTCATCTTCTGAAGACACCTGTGAGGTGTTCCTCCTGCCTGTCACCCAAATCACCTGATGAAAATCTGAGATGGTAACAGTAGAGAGGAGTAGTAATAAGGAATTACTTCTCACTTAGTTCTTGCCAACTGCTGGAGGCATCTGGACAAATTGGCCTAATTTCTTCAGGTTCTTTGTGGGTTCTCCCTCTCCTCCCTGCCCTGCTGGGAAAGGAAAGGAGGTCATTTTTGTCTGCAAGTGGCTTGAAAACTACTCTTCATTTGGCTGGTACTATGAGGCACTCATCTATGGCTCACCCCCCAGAGTGACCCAACCATAGCTCTCACCACAAGATATAACGCATTGACTCAGTAAGACTGTAAGTACCACGGCTGCCTGGAGTGGCTTGTTGTGAGTTTACCAACTTGTTGTGATGCTCTTGTCCTCATTCCCTGGTGGGTCAAGGCCAGTGCATGTTCCAAAGACTGACTCTGCATGGGGTTGACTCAATCTCGTTGAGGGAGTTCCTCTTCTGCCAAGATACAAATACGACCACCTTTGGATGATCCCAGACTGGTTTGGTTTGGAAGGGACCTTAAAGCTCATCCAGCTCCAACCCCTGCCACGGACAGGGACACCTTCCACTAGAGCAGGTTGCTCCAAGCCCCTGTGTCCAACCTGGCCTTGAACACTGCCAGGGATGGGGCAGCCACAGCTTCTCTGGGCACCCTGTGCCAGCACCTCAGCACCCTCACAGGGAAGAGCTTCTGCCTCACAGCTCATCTCAATCTCCCCTCTGGCAGGTTCAAGCCGTTCCCCTTGTCCTGTCCCTCCGTCCCTTGTCCAAAGCCCCTCTCCAGGTCTCCTGGAGCCCCTTTAGGCAGTGGAGCTGCTCTAAGGTGTCCCCTTCAGGAGCCTTCTCTTCTCCAGGCTGACCCAGCCCAACCTTGGCCTTCTGTTTCCTACATCTAACTGGCAAGCAGGGTAGGCTCTGGGGTTTATTGGTGGTCTGTGAGCAGTGACTGGCCATGGACGTGCTCCAGCACCATCACATATGGCCCCAGAATTCACTGGTTTGGTTGTTGGTTTTTTTCCCCCTTATAATTAATTTAATAATGTATTTTGTTCATAGTTCTGACTCTCTGCACACATGTATATATGCTGGAATCAGCTCCATGCAAACTTTCTCATGCAAACAAAACCAAGGCTGCCCAAATCATAGCACCAGAAGCAGAACAGAGCCCTGTAAGCTAAGCTTTATTTTTATATTTCTTTTTCTGGCTGGAAGAAACAATTTTCCTTGTATAAATCTGGATGTTCTACGGGGTTTTTTTGCATGTATCATGGATTTGGGGCCAACATATATACTTAGATAAATATTCCAAATGCCAGATGTCAGCACATGTTGGGTAAATGCTTAACAGTCATGAAACCAAGAGCCCTTGGTCTATCCCAGAGGAAAGCAATGTGATAAAGGAGACTTCTGCAGACAAAGCTGTAGTGAGGGGCTTCCTCCAGGGAAAGGCAGGGGATATGAGACTTAATCAAATCTGTCCTAACTCTAAAGGAAGTCCTTTTGTACTTTCAGTGTGCCCTGACCTTTTCAGTTGCTCACTACATGGGCTTTCCTTGTCCACTGGGTGTCTCTCACTCCTGGCTCTGATCACAAAAAGCCTTTGGTTGTGTGAGGAGTGTGAATCATTGCTATTTATTGGCTACTTCTGGAACAAAATAAACCTAAAACTGAGAGTGGAAACACCCCAAGAGGTCAGCTGGAATTGTGTGCTGTGCTTTCCATCTATAATGTTTTCCTGAAGTGGTTCTGTCGTCAGTCCATACACTTACGTGTCTTTACACCGAGTGTGCTTTAGGCTTCTTATGGCTCCAGCTATGAATTAAACTAACAGTGACTGTATGTTGAAGGTAACCTGATGAAGCAGTTTTCCTTCTATTTCACTATTTCTTGGGGAGTTGAAATGGAGCTTCTTCATTCAAACATCATTTTTTCTCTATACTTAATTGTTTCTCTCCAAATCTTTTGTTCTACAGGAAGAACATCATCAACTACTACTCCAAGTAGCTCTTACCAGACCTTCTTTGTCTTCTAAAGATACTTCTGCCAAAAAAGAAATTGGCAGGAAGGTGTCACATCAGTGTAATGGCATTTTTGTAACTTTTACTGCAGAAACTGCAGCATTTCCTGTAGCTATCATTAACAAAAGGCAGCACGGTGAAGAATCAGACCCTCTATTTCAGTTCAGAGGCATTCTGAGCTTTGTTGAAGTGGGAGGGAAAGAAGCTGGACGTGGATTCAAGTGCTGGGTCTTGACTGAGATTGACTTTAACTCTAACTTGACTTCAAAGCTCCTGCTGGTATTATGAGTGACAAAGTTCATAGCCTGTTTCCATCCTATCTCATTTTAAACTTGCTTAGCAAGGAAGTATTTGCCAGGCTTGGGAAAAGAGAAGATGATACATACCCTCCTTGGGTCAGTAAAGGCCCTGGTTGCTACAGAACAATTGTTGCATTCTTCTCTCCTCCTTCTTTTCCTTGTGTTTATTTTTGGCTCAACCACTTCCTTCTGTTTTTCTGTCATTCAGTAAAAAAATGGCTTGGCTTTGTAACCTGCAAGTTCCGTCAAAGTAGTGAAATCTGCCCCAGAAGTTGTCCTTCAACGGGCAGAACAAACACTTATGTACTCTCCAGAACAGCATTAACTATTTCAATTGTTCTGTTTTTCACCCTAGAGTGCTCCACAGGACTCAGAATTAGGCCAGCCTCCTGGGAATGGGCATGGTTTAGAAAGAAACCCTCAGGAAAGCAGCCTAGAAAGACCTGGAGGTCGAGACATCTCAGATCTTCCTGCTGCTGTGCAACTGGCTGAGAGCGTATCTCCATCAATCCCAAGGCCTGCGAGGTAAGACATGAAGTTTCACCCTGTGAATAGAATTAAAGCACTGCTGCTGTTCATGGCTGGGGATTGTTTGTTAAGTTTCTGTTCTTGTGTAGCTGATTTTCAAGCTCTATTATCCTGATGGATGATGGTGATGCAGCCTTCAAAATAACCTGACAAAACAAGACTACTTACTGTTTACTGAACCAACTTTCTTGCCTTTCTGTGTAACTGTAAACAAGACTCCAGCTGTTGTAGTAACCCTTGACTTAAACTTCCGATGCTTTTGCTCATACTAATAAACTCTCCTCTGAGGCAGAGAAACATTGAAGAGTCTTATGTAGCCCCATATAACTGTAAGATGTAATTGTAACCATTGCGAAATGCCATGCCCAGCTCTGTATAACAATCCTACTAAAAAGTACCAACCCACCTAATATGTATTAACAATGCACTCCTTAAAATGCCTTAAAATTCACCTGATTAAATACAGAGGGCTGCTTTCAGAGTTAAGTTACTCTTCAGTGCTATTAAGGATTGCAGAAGGTAACGTAAGCTAGACCGTCTTAAATATCCCAAAGGGAGTATTTTCTCTTTTTCAAGTAGCATTACTACTTGATTGCTTGAATTTTTCCATGCTACCTGGGATTTCATCTGCTGCAGTGAAGGCATCATCTAATGCCAGCACGATTTTAACATAGGGCTGAATACTTTCCAGATCATGAGTGTTACCTGGGATAGAACAACACATGCAACTTAGAAGGAGTAGCAGTAACTTGTTGGTAAATGTGTAGGATCTTTAGGCTGTAGGCACCTTTTTAAGTGTTTTCACAAATTTCTGTAAGCTTGGAGAATTCACTGCAGAAGGATTTGCTGAATCCTTTTCAAATGGAGCAGGTGTGATTTTGGTCTTTTCCTGTTTCCACCACCCCTGGGTACCAGTTCTGGTTGCCACTGTCCTTGAAAGATATAAATTTGAGAAATGAACAACAAGAAAAAATATTAGTCAAGAAAAATACTTCAAATGATCTTCAGCTAATGATATCCCAGACAATAAACTCTTCTTCCACCTTTTTTTATAAGAAATTATGAAGATTGAGCATTTCCTTACCAAGAAGGTGGTTGAACACTAGAGAGGTGGTCCGTGCTCCGAGCCTGTCAGTATCTTAAGAGACATTTGGACAATTTCCTTAAAAGCATGTTCTGACTCTTGGTAGCCCTGACATGGTCAGGGAGTTATCATGGTAGGTCCCTTTCAATATTCCCTTCCCTCCCACATTTCAGTTAACAACTACATGCATCCTCCAGCTTCTTGTTTCTCTTGCTAGTATTGTGCAGAATCACTCTGTTGCATGGGTGTGTAATGGTGAGTAACCATGCTGTCCTAGCTGAAAAAAAACACACATTTCTTGTACCCTACTTAAAATGTGATGCATTTGTGACAGTAAAATGGTCATTTTCTGCTATTCTTCTCAGTAGACAGGTTATATTATGGGAAGGGGGGAAATGAAGAGTGTTACCAACTGCTCAATTGTTTAGCAGGCCTATCACAACTAACATTCCTGCAAATAAGAGGTGCTTGTGAAGCTACAAAATGACACATATTAGACGGTGTCCTTAGAACTGCAATACCCATAAACCCTCTGACTGACAGCATTAGTACCAGCATCTACCTAATACAGTGTTTGTGCATCTGCTGGGACCTGCTTCATGTCCTGCCTCTATCCTGCGAATGAAGCAGCAGCAGAACTCACTTCTGAGGGCTGAAATTGTGCATTTTCTTCCTGTTTCTCAGGAAGCATCTCTGTACAATTACTTGCTTGCCTGCATCTCAAGGAAGATGCACTGTGTAATATGTTTAAGAGGTTCTTAGACATTGCCAGAAAGCAGCAAGAAAAATGCAGAGACTTAAACCTTCTGACATTCTTGCTCCATTCATATGTGGAAATGTAAGGAACTCAGGCGCACTGCAGGAGAAATAGCTCTGCATCACTTCTGTGACATTTGGTTCATTTCTAAGGTTCAAAATGTACAAAATCAAGGAGAGAACTTTGGTGGAGGGAAGTTTGTCTTACCCTGGTCAGCAGCTGGTCACCCTTCCTCTACTTCTGCCTCCAAGAATAAAATAGTAGGTGGCAAAATGGTATCAAGCAGCCAGGAATGAAGCTGTGTTCATCCACGCAGCAGGATTCTGTTGCTCTTACTCAGTCATCTGGTGGAAACAGTTCTTGATGAAATGTGTGTGCACGAACAGCTAGAAAAGAAGAGGCATGAAAAAGACTGTAGGGTTTTTTGGTGGTGTGAAGAAGAACATGTCAGCTTCAAGTTCTTCTAGTTGCTTAGATATGGGAAACCATTTAATACAGCCCCCAGAAAGATCTGTGTCACTGTCACTACTAGAAGGAGATGGTAAACATCTCAGAACCTCATCACCTGCTTATTTGACTTGAGACTTGTAGAGTTTCTCATCTGTCTTGTGTCTTCATTTGGGTGGACCTTTGTATCTTCATCCTGTGGACCACTGAAAATGGCCTCAGTGGGAAACAGAGCTACAAGGTCTTGGCTGAAGACCTCACCATGGCTTTTAACACAACAAGCCTGTCCTACTGGTGGAGTCCCCTTTGAGAACACAGAAATCTACTAGATGTGTTGCAAAACTTATAAGCAAGTTCTTTTGTTTGCTTGGTGACTTTGGTACAGCAAAATTTAACCCTCTAATTATTGATTCAATGCTATCCTTTTCCAAAACCAGCTGTTCCTCATAAAGGAATAGTGTGGAATTCAGCATAAGGTAGGACTCAGTACAGCAGCTTTCCAAAATAGTTATTTTTAATCTCCAAGTAGCAAGTATCTCTCTTCTTCATACTGTAGTGATGGTAGAGATAACTGGTTAATAGAGTCTGATCTGAGGCCAGAAGCTGTCTGACAAGGAAGTGGGCCAGATAACTTTCTCTCTGTGGATCTGGATTTTACTAGAGGCACAATTCCAGGCTCCAGCTATAGGCAGGTGTAGGAGCAGTGAGCATGAACAGAAAACTGAGAGACACTGGAGCTGAAGTGCGGGTGTGATGGTTTACATCAGCATCAGCAACACTCGCTTGGGGCCTTTTGGAAGCCGGTGTGGACTGAAGATGCAAGTAGTTACACACCAATGTGGTTTGAAACAATGGACTGAGTGCATGTGTCACCCACCCAGCACATTACGTTGTCCAGAACGATGTTAGAATGGGCCAGCCACAGTAACAGAGGCTGCGGGGCGGGGTGTCTTATCTTGGGGTTTGAGTATCTGTGGTTTGGCTGCAGCAAGTGCAGTCTTGCTTTAATATTTATTCATTTTCTATATTAGCATAGTCATTTTTAGATGTGGAGCTGCTGGAGCGAGGCCAGAGGAGGCCACGGAGCTGCTGCGAGGGCTGGAGCAGCTCTGCTCTGGAGCCAGGCTGAGAGAGCTGGGCTGGGGCAGCTGGAGAAGAGAAGGCTCCTGAAGGGGACACCTTAGAGCAGCTCCAGGGCCTAAAGGGGCTCCAGGAAACCTGGAGAGGGGCTTTGGACAAGGGATGGAGGGACAGGACAAGGGGAATGGCTTGAAACTGCCAGAGGGGAGACTGAGATGAGCTCTGAGGCAGAAGCTCTTCCCTGTGAGGGTGCTGAGGCGCTGGCACAGGGTGCCCAGAGAAGCTGTGGCTGCCCCATCCCTGGCAGTGTTCAAGGCCAGGTTGGACACAGGGGCTTGGAGCAACCTGCTCTAGTGGAAGGTGTCCCTGTCCGTGGCAGGGGTTGGAGCTGGATGAGCTTTAAGGTCCCTTCCAAACCCAAGCCATTCCAGGATTCTATGTTTCTATACTGTTCTATGACTAATTTGCATTTTTTAATTCCTTTTCAAAATGTGAGCACTGAGAACACTTAGACTTCCATTCTAGCTGGCTACAGCAGCTTTACACTTCACCATACAAAATCATGACTTGCGTGAGAGGAATGTTACATGGATGAGTCAGCTTGAAGGGATTCATCAGATTCCTGTTCCAGGAAACATATTAGAGGGACAGGAGCTCAGGCAACTACTCTTTATTTAGCCTTACCCCTGCAACTGCTGGCACATGTCTGCTTTGGGTGGCTTCTATCTTATATCCTGCCAAAATAGAAACAAAGACAATAAACGGAAAATCTTTGAAGTTTCCCATTCCAGGCTGTTTATTTTTAACTCACTCCCTTATGCTGCTTTGAACATGTCTTTTCCACCCTGAAGTGAACTCTTACAGTCTTAAGAGCATATGACCCGTTGTTATGATGGAGTATCTCCGTGTGGAAAACTACCACGATTGCTTTTTTCCGGTCTTCTGGGTGGCTTTTTTCCACCCTCTGCAGATTCCCAGCAATTGTTCCAGTCACTTTATGTTCTTATGGTTTAGAATTTAAAATATCTGTGATTCTTATTTTAAAATACTCTGTTTCAGTCCAGTTTTTTACTTGTTTAGGTACCTGTACCTGGTTTTACCTCACTGGTCCTGTGGGCTGAAAAGTAACACCATCAACAGTTAATCTGTCAACTTTCCATGTGAAATAAGAGTGCTGAAGAAGTAGAATAGTTACCAAGCCTCAGGCTTTGTATTGGTGTCTGAGTGAGACACAACCATGCCTTGTCTTGGGGCACACACAGAGGAAAGCTGGGGAATCCATAGCTGGGCTTTACCCCAGAGAGGCATTTCTTCCAGCAGGTTTAGGAAGAAGCAGCGTAAAAGTAGTCCAGGGAATAAGAACTGTTTGTGGATGGATTTGGCCGCTCTCCCACCCGGAGTGCTGCGCCCAGATCCTGTGGGACCCACAGAGCCACTGCAGAATGACAAGCAGAAGCTGCCCCACATCCTGTGGGACCATCTATTCAGCGCCGTGCGTCCTGCTGACTGTCCAGCTATCTTAGATGGAGACCAGGACCTGGCTGTGGAACTGGAACTGAAGATCTAGTGGCAGGGGGTTGGAAGTAGATGATCTTAAGGTCCTTTCCAACCCAGACTCTTCTGTGATTCTATGACCTAGCCGTGTCTGCACGCCGCAGCAGTAGTAGAGCTTTGCTTTTTTAGTGCTAGAATAATTAGTTGGGTCATGCTTAAAATACTGCAGGCCCTGCATTTTGTACTGTGTGTGGAACAAGGAGGTGAAAAGTGGCTGGGGGTGGGGGGAAAAGGGAAGGGCAGTTCCCAGGAGGATCATATGGATCATTATTCCTGCTTCACTTTTTCCTGAAAGCTAAGATGTACAGACAGGGTGGGGGAAGCTGGCTGCTGTTAGCAGCCCTTTAGCCATGATGGATTTCTCATGTGGTTGTTTACACTGAAGAGTTCAAATAGCGACTTGCTCTGCCTCTGAAACTCTGACTTCGTTATTATTATTAAAGGGAATGTGGAAGTGATTTCCATGCTCCCCTTTAACTTGCAATACCTCTTCGGAACAGATTAAAATGCAGGATTCTTTAATTCAAGTCCTCTCGTACAGTGTGTCCAAATGTGTAAACTCAAAATGTAGGCGCTCATCTCTCATGTGTCAGGGGAAATAGAACAGGAACATTTGAGAAGCAGCTATATATGTGCCATGGCCGCAGAGCTGGCTCTGCATTGGTGCCCTTTGGTGCTTTCTAAATTCATCCTCAGATTTCAGGCTTTTACACTCCTGGAAATATAATCACTACACTTACATCAGCGTGGATGGCAACCGTATGTGACCTCTGGGTTTCACAGGCTTCAGCACTTGGTGCTTTTCCCTTGTAAGTGTGACTGGGTTGAAAGGCTGCCTGTCCTTTCAACAACTACTGTGTGGTTTAGAAGGAAAAAAGGCATAAGAAAGGGAAAAATTAAATTAACTATGATTTTCTGTTGTTGGATCATCATTTCTTGTTGTTTATCAAGTATATGTAACATATTTGAGCATCCCTACCCCTCCACAACCCCCTCAGATGGTAAATGCCAGAGAGCTTTGCTGGCTGCTGCTGGTTTTATCTTCTGTCCCCTTGTTTTTGCTGTGGATTGCAAAACAGAGTAATGTGATTTCGAGTGTTAATGGCTGGTAGATTGGGTATTGCTCTTAATTTACTAAGATTTATTTATGGGAGATGCACCATAAGTCATCGATTTCTCAACACCCTTTAAAGCTTCATGCCCTGAACACAAACCAGGCAGTGCTGTCCTAATAACTGGGTAGTACTCTCAAATTGTTTAGGATAATTCAAACTTGCCACAGTACATTGTGAAGGTGGAAGAGGTTAACTACAGGTATTAAAAATTAATTATAACATTTGCAATGTGCTTCTAAAGAAGCAATTTCTCTGTAATTATTTATTCAAAACAAATGTTTTAGGCATATAAAGCTGTAACTCGTTGCTATTTGATGTAACTGGGAGGCCAGCATTCATATGGTTAGGGCCTTAAACTTGCAAATGCTTAATTGTGTGCTTAAGCTCTAAGACATGGGAAAAGTTCCCTTTGATAACACTTGAGAGCAGTGGGACAGCTGCATACTTCAGTTCACGTGCACCTAAGTCTCTGTGTGACTGCTTTTTGTTTTGTTTTAAACATATCATCACTTATGTGCAGTCATTATTCCTGGCAAAATGACTCTCTCTGCCCCAAGCTCCACACGAGCTATGAGGAGCTCTGATGTTCTTTCATGCTTTGTCGTTTGCATGGTTAGTTTTAAATATGAATGAATTTTCCCCTTAATAAACTCAAAGTAGTTCAGATTACAAACAAAGGAGATCGAGTAACCACAAAAGAGAATATGTTTTATTTTCTTGTGCTTAGAAAAAACGACTTTCAGGGTCATAGCTTTATGTTGCTCATATTGAACTGGTTGTCTGAAAATACATGCTCCCTGCAGGTAACTATTGATTGCTGGTATATTTTCATGTAGATTGGGTTTTACTCAGGGGAATTATCTCCAGCATGTGGTGTCATTTCTCTGTAGTGTTATTCCCTTTAAAAAGAGTGGAGGATAATGGGACTCTGTGTGACCTTGGAAGGTCATCTACTCTGTCCTTCTGCCCTAAAGCAGGATCAATGTGCTTAAGCTATTCTCAACAGATGTTGGTCTAACCCCAGCAACGTCTTGCACACAGAAAAGCAAGATTACAAAAAATGAAAAGGAAAATGTAGGGCATGTATGTCCCCTGTATGGTTTTCTTTGTTACTTACATCAGGAGAAACATAAATGGAGATATCCAAACAGGTCAGTCTGGACCTATCTTGTTATGAATGAAAACTCAAATCTTTCAATTCTATATTGTGACCTGAATAAAACATTGAAGCAAGCTGCAGTAGCACGGGTGATGAATATGTACTACTTCATTCTGAAAACGATATTTTAAGTTGCTGTCACAGCACTGTCACTTTAATTCTATTCAACATATTACAAAGTTGTTCCAATTCCTTCATCTACTCCTGAGTAGAATGAATAAGTTTTCAGCATTATCAAACAGCAGAAAAAATTATTCAGTTGATTCATAATGCTGAATAGTTCCTGGGATTGTCATCAGCCCTTGAACCTGCTAAGTCACGGGTTTACTACTATGACTTTCCAAACTTGCTACCAGAATGGCAGTAGATAGAGGACCTGGAAGCTCCTCCAGTTCCAACCCCTGCCACAGGCAGGGACCCCTTCCACTAGAGCAGGTTGCTCCAAGCCCCTGTGTCCACCCTGGCCTTGAACCCTGCCAGGGATGGGGCAGCCACAGCTTCTCTGGGCACCCTGCGCCAGCGCCTCAGCACCCTCACAGGGAAGAGCTTCTGCCTCACAGCTCATCTCAATCTCCCCTCGGGCAGGTTCAAGCCATTCCCCTTGTCCTGTCCCTACATCCCTTGTCCAAAGCCCCTCTCCAGGTTTCCTGGAGCCCCTTTAGGCACTGGAGCTGCTCTAAGGTCTGCCCTGACATATGAATGCATACAATATGGAAAACTTACAATCTGACTTGTATGTTATAGATATTTTACCTTGGATTCGATGCTTACCCTTCATACAGGCAAATTTCAATAGCTCTTTAAAGATGAGTTTATATTCTACTGCAGTGACGCTTAAGGAGGTTTTTAGGATGCAAGATAGATTCAAGGTCCATTTTACATTCATAAAGAAATTGTTTGTTGCATTGGACATTCCTCAGTATAAGGAGGGGTTTTGACTAGGATTGCATTTTGTGTGCTGTAGCACAGCGTTAGAGCGTGGGGCTCTGGTGCTGCCTCAGCAGTCACTGAAGGGTTAAACACTGAACTGCAGGGACATGAGAGCTGGGCACTAACTCACTTCTCCTTCAGCAAGTATTTTGTGTGTAAAACTTGGGCAGAGAAAGGGAGAGAGGCTTCTCAGATTTCTGGAGATTACTTAAAGCCCAATCTATGCTTCCAGAAGGTGTTTTAAGCATCTTTTATAGCTCCAGTCTGTAGGGCACTTTGGACTTGTGAAACACAGGCTCTTACTGCTAAGCCATGGCAAAGCTCTAGTATTCATGATAATGAACCGTCTCTCCCTGTGAGCTCTGGAACTAGAGTGTGTTGCCATCACACCGACCTCCAGGCACTGGGCAGCATCTTGTCTGTCTTTGGTGGCTGGGGTGTGTATGTGGGGGAGATTTATTACCTCAATATGCTCCTAGGTGCTATTCTACATCAGTTTTGAGTTGATATTTCACTCCGTGTTCGCTAAGGCACTGAAGGCATGCCCAGGCTTCCCAGGGGAGTGAGGGAGAGAACAAGGCTGACCTATTTCATCACCTCCAGACCTCGGTGTCCATACAGTGCACGTGAAAAACATCAAAAGAACTTCTCCTTCCTGCACTTCGTGCACCCACAGCATCTCTGCTGCCATTTTTTCCCTCTTATCTTTAATGGGGTGGGGAGAGAGATCATACGAACGGCTATAGCTTATATGCACTGCAATGAAACCCTGCAATAAAATGATCTCAGAGGGTGTGTAGTGTTCTATGGCAATGTCTTCAGCTGGCAGGGTGAGAACTTTGACCTCCCAGTGAGAATCAACTGTGCTCATTAGTTGGAGAAAACATTCAGCAGATGGGCCCTTCCTAATCTGCTACACAATAAAAGCACAGCCCGAGAGCAGCAGTTACTGTGGGTTTCCTTCAGCTTTGCACAAAGTAGTCTCATAGAGGCAGAAAGTAAAAACCTTTCTTTAAGCTACTGGTGCTTTTTCCAGTATTTTTTCCCTTTTTTCCATGTTGCTCCCTTACTCTGTTACACGTATGTCCCCTCTCCCTGCACTTAATAAGACTTTGGGATGGTTAAAATGCATGCCACGAGCATCGTGGATCTGGGATGTATTTTCAAGTATGAGCATTTAAATCACTGTAACGTGTGTCTGATGGTTTAGCTCCTGCAAGCAGATTATCAGCTTCTCAGTGCATGTACTGCATGGCTTTGAAACATCCATGGCACAGACTGTTCTTATTCTTTGCTTCATAGTCTTTGCTTCTTTACTGACATGAAACAAATAAACGTTTCCATTGTTGGCAGCATCAGTAACGAAGGCATCTGTAGCTACAGTGCTGAAGACGTGTCCAAGCCAAATCCAAGCATGGTGTCTTCAGAGGTGACAGGACAGAACACTATCTTGCAAGAGGAAGGAGGACAAACCGAGTCTCATTTCTTAAAGCAGGCTGCAGGAGCAAGGGAGGGGAGTCTGTCTGTCTCAGTGCCTTTTGCAGAGTGTGCCAAAGAAAGTGTCACAGGACATCCTACAAGCGGCAATGACAAGTCACCAGCCTCAACCTGCAATGAAGCAGTGCCATCACCGGCTCCAGTCAATGACAAAGAGGGGACAGCACAGGCCAGATCCATGGACAGAGGCCCTAAATGTGACAATATTGCTGTCACTTGTGTGGAAAACAATGAGAATGATCCCAGCAAGCCAAGCCTGGAGTCCAGCCCTCCTGCAGCAATTACAGCAACACGAGGAGTCTCACAAATGAGTGTGAGTGAATTAGGAGGGCTCTGGCAGGGCGAGCAGCTGGGTGGCAGGAGGGACCCACATGTCAGCACGTGTCCCCAGGGTACAGAAGCAGGGGATTACATCCCTGCTCAGGAGGCCAAGCAGGAGCAAGGAGGTTTGGAAGCAGGTCAGCCACAGGCTGTAATGCAGCAAGGTAGACAGAACCCAGATGGTGGGGAGGGTCTGCTAATGAAAGAAGAAACCTTAATCCTAAATTATCCAGCAACAGGAGGCTCAGACAGTGAAAAATGTGGAGCAATTGTGAATGCTCAGGGCTTCACTGGGATCAGTGAAGTCTGTAATCTGCAGCTAGGGGATGTAACAACAGCTAAAGGGAATGAGGCAAATCCAGCTCTATCTGCAAGCAAAGAGGAGCAATCAGAAGCCTGTACTTCAATGTCAGAGTTGCCTTCTAACCCTCTCCTCCTGGTACCAAAGCCTGAAGAGCCTTCGAGGGAATATGTGCCTGGAAATTACTCTCAAGATGCAGTGAGGAATGAAGTGGTGAAAACAGCCGCTGACAAAAACAAACCCTCTTTTCAAAGAGAGCTTCAAAAGGAGGATGAGCTTGTTAGTGCCGAGCATTCCAGTGTGCCTTTATCATTACAGCGAGAGGGAGAACAAAACTCAGCTGTCACAACTGAAAGCCCAAAAGATGAAGCCAGTAGCAATGGAATTATAAAAGCTGAGGCTGTGTCTAGAGAAAGCACCACACTTTCTGAGACAGAACGTGTTATCAATCCCACCACAGAAAATACCCTCGTAGATAAAAGCTTATTGCTGGAAGAATATGCATTAAGCACTTCTTTGAGCAGATCCACAGAGCTGAATCAAAAAGAAACCAAGGCGAGTGTAACAGGAGATAAAAAGGAAATCAGAGCAGAAGTGACAGAGAGCAGTGAATTAACTGAGGGGTTGAGTGGGGCACAAAGACAACTGTTGAACCCTGTTAGTAGCCACCACCAGGACGTGGAAAATACCCTTTTGGGACACAATCCTCAAGTATTGGGTCTTTGTGAAAAGACTTCAACAGGTGACCCAGGGGAGGAAGCTGGGGCAAAGCCTCTGAATTTAGACTTTAAATCACCCAATGACAATTCACAGCCTCTTGATTGCAAACCTGAACAACAAACGCGTAAAGAGAAAACTGATGCCACAAACAACCTGGAGAATAAACCTGTGGCTTCCCCACAGTTTCCAAGGCAGGAATTCCCACTGGGGCTTGATTGCTTTAACACCGAGGCAGAAGACAAACCATTGGGCCAGTTAGGCTGTAACAGGACCGACAAAGTTTGTTTAGCCCATGCACACAGTTCACTGCCCCTCCACTCTGAGAACAATCATGTTAAGCAGAGTAAGCAGGATGAGCCCTGGGAAAAGGCTCTTGCTAGAGAAACTGTGTTGGAATCTGACTCCAAATCAAAACCCGAGCTCCAGGGCTTAAGTGAGTTGGCAAGGCCTGAGGATCGCATGGCTCTACAAGACGAGAAGGGCTCGTGGGTTTCAGACACTGAAGAACACAACAGTCATATCATGGCAGTGCCTTGCAGTGATTCAGAGCAGGGACCTGCAGCTGCACAGCGCAGTGGTGTGGGTGGTAAAGAAAACGAGGGTATTCAGCAAGAGAAGCACCAAGCTGTGGTGGAAAGCTTTGTGGAGGACAAAGATTTGGCACTGAAAGGGGAATGCAAATCGGATGTGCTGATGCCAGCTCAGCTGGAGCAAGTGGCTTGTTCAGAAACCACCCAAGCTGATGTTGGCACTTCAGGACTAACTCCTCGTGTGGAGGAAGGAGGTGACAGCCATGGCAATGACAACCACTGTCCCTCTGAGCATGGCACATGCAGCTCTTTGGAGACCCTGGATTGCAGTGTCAGAGAATTGCAGGAAAATGCAGATGTTCCACGTGCTCTTCCCCAGGCAGAGCAAATGGAGAGGTCAGTGTGTGCTGCTGGTGACAGTAGCTGGGTTTCAAATACAGGGCTTAAACAACAGCAGCACCAAAGCAGTCTGACAACTGTCACAAGAGCAGATGATCAGGAACACAAAGAAAGGGCAGTAAAACCTGAACGGCTATTAGACCTAAATAATGACAGCAGCATACCAGAAATACCTCTAGACATTCCAAACAACCTTAATAAAGAATCTTCTGTGCTAGATCCAGTGACTCAGGACACAACAATAGAAAAGGACAAGGATAAAAGCAGTGCTGTGGTGTCAGAGACACGTGAACACGGGCAAAATACTCCTGGTGTGACCATGTTTAATTTGCAAGATCGCAATGAGCAAAACAAAACTGATCTCAAGGCAGAAGAAAACTGCTGCAGTAAGCACAACCCAGACGAGACCGAGCAGGGTAATAATTCTTTGATCTCAGCTAGTCAGCATGAAGCAGCATGTCAGAACCATACGTTTGCTAAAGGATCTGACAAGATTGAACTGCCAGGCAGGATAGAGGATAATAGTGGTGAAAGCCAGGCTGCTGCTGCTATAAAGGCTCTTCCACGGACACAGAATTCAGCAAGTGCTACTAACACGTCACAGGCTTTGCCAAGTGATATGGAACCAGCACATACTTCTGATAAGCCTGGGAAAAATGATCCTCAAATATCTCATCCAGAAATGCAAGGGAAAAGGCCGTTAATGGCAAAGAACTCCGAAAAGACTCTGACTGCTGATGGGGGAGTGATCCAGAGCAATGGAAACATGGAGGAAAGTGCTGCTGTCACAGAAACAAGCAATGTGAAGAGTGCTAAAAGTCCAGGGGCACAGGGATGTCCTTCAGCGTCACAGGCACATGGGGAAGTAACTCCCACCAATAAGCTGTATGAACCCAGCTGCCTTCAAAAGACAGCAGAGGAGCCTCGTTCTTGCCAAGCAGATTTCACAGCCCTCTCCACACACACCTCTGCACTCGGCCATCCTGGCCAGCAACCTGGAAACCATACAGCCAGCGGTACTGGGGGGGAAACACTAAGTGATGAGAGGGAAGTTGTAGCACACCAAAATGCCTTAGAGGGTAACTCTGATTTGGAGATTGATGCAGGTTCTCAAGTACACTTAGGTCCCTCACCCAGTGTAAGCACAAGTAAACCAGCAAATCCAGACAACAGCTCTGGAGGAGAGGTGCATGTGAATGGAATAGATGTTCCACACCAAAGTTTTCAGGGTGATGGAGACAGGAGTTCAGCCCTGCCAGAGACTGTAAATGTGGGGCAGAGTACTGTAAATGTGGGGCAGAGTACTGCAAACTTATCGCAGTTCAGTTCTGAGAAGCTGAAGAAAGAGATCTCTGCAATTAAATCCCCCAAAACAAAAAGTGAGGTAAACTTCAAAGCACAGCAAAATGACAGTTCAGCAGAGTCTCTGCTCACTCTCCCCGCTCTAGAAGGGAAGCTGCTGAGCCTTTCATCATCACAAGAAAGCTGTAATGAGGAAATTGCATCTAGTGTGTGTGTAGATGACAAGCACGGTAAGATCTTAGAGAAACCTGGGAATTCAGAAGAAATGGAAGAGCTTTCAAAAGAGAATAATAACGTAACTGGGACAGAGCTCAGCACTTCCGAGCAGACTGCAGGGAGCTCTGGAAGGGAGCATGAGGCTCTGACTTGCAGCTCTCTGGACATCGGCTCCAGCTTCCCAGATTTTCGGGAGCACATCAGCCAGATATTTAAAAGCACTGTGCAGAGCACGCTGAGTGCTGAGTTACCCCAACGACTGCCTGAAAACCATGCAGGCTTCAAGCAGAGGCCGGTGGCCATGGATACAGCAGGAGCGTGCGGTGCTGAGAACTCTTCAGGATCAAACAAGGTGGGCAAAGGAGCTCCCGAGGGCACCTCAGAAGCAGAGGAGCAAGAGCTGCCTTTAGCTCCTGAGGCTTCCTGCAGAGGTGCCAAAGGGAAGTCTCTGCAACAAGGAAACACAGCAGCAGAGCTGCCACCAGCAAGTCTCCAGGATGCTGAGGAAAACAAGCAGCCCAGTAGGTGTTTAGAAGTGGTCCCTGCATTGGATGGCACTACACCTGCTGCACGCCCTCTGGAACACCTGCAAAAGCCAGAGCAAACCACTGAGCATCCAAGGTGCGGCGAGATGGAAGGAGAGGAAGGAGTGTGTGTGAGTGGTGTTGATCCCGAATCGCTAATAAGCTTAGGGATAAAGAAGCAAGGACCAGCTTCATTTGGTGAGGCAGCAGCTGAAAACTTCCCTGCGTGTTCTGACAGTAAGCAGCAACCCGCTGGAGCTGTTACCTCGATAGGTGATGCACAGAAGAGGGACTTAGAAGACGCTGCTACTGCAGAGGGAAATAACTTAATTACAGAGTGTAGCACAGAACTAGTTTCATCTGAAGAGGATGTAAATCTTCCTACTGAGCAGCGCCAGGATCCTAAGGCAAATGAGCAGGAGAAAAGTGAGTACAGTGATGCAGACATTGCCAAGAGCATCTCTGACATGGCAGCATCAACACTTGTCCCGGGAGGATCTTACAATCACGAAAAATTGCCAGGCAATTTTAATGCATCACCTGGGGGAAATCAGGAGACACACGTTCACAGCAGTTTCATGCATGACAGTAAGTCTCAGAGTGACGTGCAGGTGATACAGGATGATCCAGTGGATAGGAAATGCTTGGAAACACTGGAAAATCAGCAAGATGCACAGCAAGAAGAGAAAGGGACCGTGCATGGGTTAATAGATTACTTAAAAACTGAAGTAAGCCAGGATGATTGCTTGCAAACTGACTCTACAGTAGAATCTAGCAATATGACTGAGGGAGATATAAAAGAGAACAGTGACATGGTGTTAAGCACAACAAAGTCAGGTAACATAAAAACTGAAGACACCCCCGAAACAGGTACTGCAAGGATGTTAGTCACTGGTGAAGGTGACTTGGCTATAAACACGAGCACTGAAGAGCAGGACACAGAGCTGTACAAAAATCACTCCCCAGCCACTCCTGTGATGGAGCAGGGTGAGCGTTCTGCACGTACAGATCTCACTGATGCCGAAAATCAGCCCAGCAAGATGAATCCAGAAGATGAAAGCTTGCTTCAGGATGCCACAGGAAAGCTATCCCTGCTTGCCTTAGCTGAGCCTAAGAACCTTGACCTCGCTGAAGTGCAAGACATGGCTGTGGCAGGATTACCTACTGAAAGGTATTTACTTTAAATTACTATGGTTGTCAGGACCCTGGGGCTTGAGTGGGATGCGGCTTTCAAGGCAGACACCCATCGTCTGGGCGGTTTGGGTGCACATGGTGCTTACTCTGTTTCTATTCAATTTCTGGTTTGGACTACGTGTAAGGAACCTGAAACAATTCCTAAGGGCAGAGGGGTCCTAAAAGCCGAGGGGCACAATCCTTACCTGTTCCATCTGCTGGTCCAGATTCCTGCCCTTACCTGTGTGGCTTCACTTATGCTTCCCAGCATCCACATCTTGTAGCCTAAAGTTAGGCAAACAAGTAACACTTTCTAACCTTAAGTTAGTAGGCTTTTGCCTAAGTTTTTGGTGACCCAGTTAAATGAGACCTGCAGCATTCACATGGTGGATGGCAGCATTTAAACACAAGCCTGCAGTACAACCCAATTACTCACACTGTTAGCTGTCCGGGCCTCCCTCTTATCCTCCTGTATAATATAATTGTATTGACAGTGCCTTTGATCCTTGTGTTACTCAGTGTTTCTAATGACACGGAGCTGTTTCAGATGTGAATTCTCAGCAGGGATTTGTGGAGCCTATGAGTAGCTGGGTGTTCATTTTCCAAACCTAGCAGTAGCTGCTTTAATAAAGTGAAGGCACTCTTTGGGTGAGTTTTCACTTGGCTGTTTGCATTCTCAGTTTGAAACAGAGCTAATTCACAGCATTCTGATCCCAGAGCAGGTGCTTTCCCTTTACCTAATCACAGCACTGCTTCTTCTGTAACCTCAGCAACTTTCTTGAAGGTTACTCCTCTCCTTTTAGGAGGAGGCAGCTGCAGCCATAACTACTCAGAGACAACAGCAGAGCAGAAAGGTACAGTGAAAACCTGAACTGTTCCAGCCAGCCTCAATGAATGGTTTGCATAGATGGATCTTTCTAAATACTACCAAAACATTGGATGATGCTAGCTCAATAAGGAGGGAAAATATCTCAGTGCCACATTCCTTCAAGGTTAAAATGATAAAACTGTGTTGTAAGTGAAGTGTTTCTGTTGTGAAAATGGAGGGATGAGGGCAGGATTCTTCCTATTCTAAGTTTGTCTGGGATGGAGACTGAATATGACCTAATTGCATGAGCAAAATGTATAGTAGAAGAATATTAGAAGTGTTGGGAGTCTGAACACCTATCTGACTTTCTCCTTAAGGATCTGCCTATGAAACATCAAGGACATTAGGCCCTGTTATTTCTCTTTAGCTCCTTTCTCTTTGTTTCCCTTTCTACGATGGGAAGCTTCACAGTGGGTAGATTTGAAATTACCAAACAAATTGCTGGCCTGGCCTGGTTCAGAAGCCTTTCAGGACTACAGGGCAGTACGTGCATGTGTCTACACATGTGTTTTCTGTCAGGGTGGGTATCATCCTTTAAATAAATACCTGTGGCAAGCAGGGCAGGGCTCTAGAAACAGCTGCTGGCAATCCATGGGGTGGTTGCTTAATGCTTGATTATGCTGTAGGAATTCATTATCACCTGTTTTTGCAGCGTGAGGGTTTGTATCAACAGGCAGCTGCTCCTCTCAGTGTCACACGTACCCAGTGTGCATACACATGCAGGAGGTGCTACGGGCAGAGCCAAACGTGATTGCAGCGCTGAAGACTTACACAATGGGGACCCTCTGAGGTGAGGGGAGTCTGCTCTTGATCAGCCTCATTTCTTAAAGGAATATGTATTTATAATACAAAAGAGCATTATACATATATATAAAATATAAAAGCATTAGTTGAGTTGGCTGCTCTGTCTTCAGCGGGTCCAACACACTGGTCTGAGCTTAAAGCCGGTTTTGTATAGTTGAATTTCAAGCTGTATTCCATAACCTGTGTGCTCCAGCCACATCACTTGTTGCTGCAGGGTGGTTTCCAGTTGTTTATTGCCCTATAATCCTTACAGATGATTAACTCCTATAGCCATGCAAAAAAAGGTGCGTGTTTCTAAGAGGCTGTGGGGATTTGGGCCTGATGGCAAGAATTCCAGGGAAAATGAATCTGCCCCAGCTCTTAAAATAAGTAGCAGTAAAAAGTATATTCTACTTAGGAGAAGGAAATTGCTTGTTCTGCATTATTTCAGCATTGTTCTCTACCTCTTGCACTTCTTCTGTATAGCTTCATCTCTTAGAGATCTCTCCCATTGGAACCCCACTGAGCTGTGGGTGAGAGAGCAAAGTTATATGATCTGACTCTAAATCCTTGTTAGGATTTCTTCGCATAGAGGAAATGGGGGGGATTTCTTTCCCTTGTGGCTATGGAGCATTAGGAGGAGGGTGGTCTTGTGAAGAGTAGATTCAAGAACTGTCTGCAGTAACTCCTGCCCTCACCTCCTTGAGGAGAGGGCCAGTGGTCACTAATAAGAGCCGTTTTGTCTGCAAGCAATACAATAGCACCAATAACTTCCCTTCAACCTTCAGTACAAAGGACAATTGTTTTTGGAAAGGAGGCTGTGCACAGAAAAGGAGTAAAAAATAACCCTTCTTTGATGATTTTGACGTTTCTCTTTACCAAATCTGTGACTGAAAACCTGTATTTGTGGTGGTCACATCTGGGCAGCAAAATGTCATCCTTCCTACTTGCTATTGGGCATCCAGCTGCTCTGTTTTGCTTAGAAAGGAAGATAAGGACTTGATTTCTTTTCTTCTTTTGTAATGACTACACCCATACATCTTCATCTTCTTATGGAGGGACAAAGGAGGTTCATGTATGTACAGGGGAGTCCTTATACCTTGTGCCGCTGAAATGCCCCTGTTTGCACCATGGGCTATGGCAGGTATTGAACAGATCATGGAGCACAATTGGAAGTGATGGCAAATTTTCAGGGATGTTTAGAGGTGGCATGGAGTTTCCTGATAACTTCCCGCAATTCATCCAGCTGGTACATGTGGAATGCCATTGTCTCTCGGGAAAAGTGCTGAGAGAGCTTTTTGAAGTGGAGACTGTGAAGTCATTCCCAGATGTGTATCTGTGAGGTTCATAGAGCTGATTTCATCATGCACTGATTTGTTGGCTTGGCAAAAGGCTCATGTCGTCAACAGGCCTTTGGGCGTTGCAGGGCTGCAGAGATGCTCATAGAGGTCGCTGGGGCTGGGTGTGCTAGCAAGGGAAGAGCAAAAGGCTCTGTGCTCACTGCAGTGCTAAGCAATGTGCCCTTCACCTGCCTCGAATGCAGGTGGGCACAGCACAGATTTGGCATCAGCACAGCTTCTGGTGCTCCTGCACAGTGAGCTGACTTGTGCTGGAGCTTATGCTGGAGAAACAATCCTTACTCCAGCCTGTGTATCAAATCAATAGACAAGATGCAGTGCTTTCATAGCTGTACTAATGCAGGTGCTCATTCTTGCTCTCTGGTGCCTGAACCTTACTTGCTGGCTGTACCTCGACCTGCTCCTCACTGTTTGAGTGTATTAAGCCAGTGTATGGGGAGAGGAAGATGTGTCACTGCGCTGCCACAGGGGACAAGTGTTTCCTAACCATTTTGGCACCACAAGAAACAACACCAGGAGGGTCCATTCCCAGCTATAGCATTGGATTGTAGGTGCTCTCACTGAATCATAGAATCCTAGAATGGTTTGTGTTGGAAGGGACCTTAAAGCTCATCCAGCTCCAACCCCTGCCATGGGCAGGGACACCTTCCTCTAGACCAGGTTGCTCCCATCCAACCTGGCCTTGATCTCTAAAGTGGGTCCAGACATGGTTTTGGATTTGCTTCATGCTTTGTTCTTGCCATCAAATATTGGCAAGTTGAGTAAGTCAGAAAAGAATGTTCATTCCTTAGTAAATACTGACTCGGTCTTTTTTGTCTGTCTAACAAACACAGTATTAAATATTTTAGCAGTCTTGCTGGATGAGGTATGGAATGTAGAACTGCTTTTCAGATCAGTCAAGTGGGTTTTGAGCACTAAGGCTTTGTGTTGTTAACGTCTGAAAACAAGAGTTTGGAGTTAAAAGGAAACTTATCTAAACAGTGATTATGCAGCTTTATTTCCCTATTTTTTTTAACTTCAGAATTAACTCAGGTGCAGCATCTCAGGATCACAAAGCAAAGGGAAAACGAAGGTGATTTACACCTTACTGAAACACATAAAATTCATCAGGCTATTTGTCTCTCCTGCCCTTCTCCCTTTGCATCTGAATTCTTTCCTCTTGATTTCCCTCCCATCTTAGTTGCCATTGCTCTTCTCAGTAGGTGTAGCTGTTAGTACAGTTGTGCTTTTGGAGACACAGGCAGCTCAGCCTGCAGCTCCCAACTACATTAACAGGATGGGGAGTTCTGTGGGAATTTCGTCTGTGTGAAGTCTGTGATATTCTCCTCATGGAAGAGTAAATTGAGGATAATTTCACTCTTACTTAACAGACATCTCACATTGCTTTATAAGAAGTTAAAGGCAGTTTTACCATCTACTCTAAGGGCTGCCATTGACCAAACTGATGCTGGTTTAGGCAGCACCTAAGTTAGTGTAAATATTGGTGAGCGTAAAGAAGCTGTGGCTGCCCCATCCCTGGCAGTGTTCAAGGCCAGGTTGGACACAGGGGCTTGGAGCAACCTGCTCTAGTGGAAGGTGTCCCTGCCCATGGCAGGGGTTGGAGCTGGATGAGCTTTAAGGTCCCTTCCAACACAAACCAGTCTGGGATTCTGTGATTTCTAAAATGCTGATTTGATAGTACACCCTGTTGTACTCAAGGCACATGCCAATGGAAAACCAGGTATGTGTTACTATGTGAGTTATTTTTTAGTTCTATTTACATACGCCTCTGCTATACAAAAGTATATAAGTAAATCATCTCTGGCCCTGCCAAATTGCTGGTACTTCTTGCTGTATTGGAAACATTCTGTAACACTCATGAGAACCGTAGCCACTTATTAGTGAGGGAAGTATTGACATGGGTGGATGATACACGAGCTGCTGTTTCAACACATCCTTCTGTGTTTCTCAAGAAATTAAATTTATTCAATCAAACACAGGCATTTGTTA